AAAAAAAAAAAAACTAATTAAGGACTGAAATTTAGTTGATTTATGTATCCCACAATGCATTCCAGAACCTAGGCTATTGGAATGCTCAAAGCTGGATGCAAAAGCATAGCTCCACTAATTTCATTTCTTGACGAACCAATTGGAGTTGTGCAAAACTAGAGATAGTCTCACAGATGAAACTTGTATTCTTTCACCACATATGTCCTTGATTCCCAATCAAAGGAAACATTATGGTGACCTACGGCTTCTATAGATTTTAACAAATCCTCAATGATTTGAACCCTTGAGACTAGACAACCGTTGTTTCCTAACAGATCTATTGCCAAACTGTTCTTTTATTTTCCCTTTATTTGATAAAACCTATTGCCAAATTGTTTCGATCAATTAATTAGGACTCAATCCTAAGCTAATCAGTATCGGTTATACGAATCTTCTATATCTATTCCGCGCTACTGAGGGTGCATGTCATTCTAAGAATAGTAAACAGATATGTCATTTCAATGATGGGATAAACCTACTTGATCAAAATATGGAGCAGCTGATGGGAATTGAACCTACATCTTCTGAAAAGGAACTCTAATGCCAAGTTCACATAAAAAATTTCCAAACTACATAAACAAGAATGACATTCCATTTTGAATAGCTAATAGCGATACCACAGGGATTTACCCCTTCCTATGGGAGCTTATTTGTTGTAAAATCTTTAAACCTACATATGTACACAAACAGACAATCTAGGAGTCAACCAGAGGAGGGGATGGGATTTGAAGTTTATAGGTTCTAAATTCTAATCTTTTTAAGTTACTGGGTTCTAAATTAATAATTTGTACATATTCAATAACTTTTAAATAAATAGAGAGTTTAAACTAAAGCTACTGGGTTCAGTCGAAACCGCAGCCAACACTCTCCCTCCGCCGCTGATGTCAACTAAAAACCAAAAATAAGATTGGAAATCTTGCATAGTCGACAATTATCTTCAAAGTTTGGTGGAGGACCTAATATAAAACAACTATCTTCAAGAGGTATATAAAAGAACAAGGTACTCATAAGAGTTCACAATGCTACTGATACCTGGAAGGCCGGGCATGGGCCTTGGAAGCATCGGAGGCCGCATACCAGGGACCCATTGGGCACCAGCTGGCATTTGAGGGTTGCCGGGCATCTGCATCTGAGGAGTTGGAAGACCAGGAAGACCAGGCCTTAGCTGAGGAAAAGGAAGGCCAACTGGTCTAAAGGCCCCTAGATGTTCCTTGACTTTTTGATCAATTAGACTTTGATTCAGTTGTGCCTCAAATTGTTGATAATAAGTTCGAACATTTCCCTGAAAGTACAATTTTGTAAGACTTGTTCAAAGTGATAAGCCTAATCTCAGAGGTAATGGAAATAATACCTTGTGTTTGTACCCTGCATTATGCTGCTTTCTAACAGAAGGCTGAAAAATAGCAAGACAGTAGTGTTGTCAATTGCAGGTACAGCATAATGGATTCAACACATAATTATTATTTTTTTCTGAAAAGCTCCAATGAGGAGTCATGGACACAAGAAACCTGCAATCAACTCAAATGTACTTCTACAAAAGTATTACATTCAGGATAAGTTAGTATATTCTTTAAACCTTTTCCCAAGAAATGTTTTTATTCCATAGTTTGGTTGCTCAGAATGTTTTCCTAAGAGAATTTTTTTTTACCAAAAAGGAAAACCTCAACTCTTCTTACCTCAATTCAATTGTTTCAACCAGTATGTAAACACTATTATCAACCTTTCAACAAAAACAACTATGAGTGCACTTAAAGCCGGTGTCAGCTACATGGACCATCACTGACCATGTCGCACCATTTAAGCTCATTCCAGGCCAATATTATACAAAAATTAAATTTAAAAAATAGGAAGTACTAAAAGTTCTCTATATTTTCTACCGGAACATAATCTGTTATGACTAAAACATACCTAGAAAGTATAGGACTTGAGCAATCCTACTAGCATGACATATTGCCAACTAATAGCTATCATCTATATAAGATTTTTTTTCCTTCCATTATGTCCTAATTTCACTAAGCCTACATGGATTCTAAAAGATTGTACGTTTTTCAGACACTGTTATCTATTGTCAACCTATAATATTGAAAGTTATGCATCCAACATAGTCCAGCAGGAAGTGAGTTGCGATACATGAGGCCTCAGGTTCAAATCCTAGCGAAGACAAAAATACTAACTGATTTCTTCCATCTGTCCAAGCATTGGTGGACGGAGTTACCTGATACCTGTGTTGTGCTGGTGGGAGATCTCATCCAAACACCAAACGATCTTCAGGTTAAACTTTCTCGAAGAAAATATTTCAGATGAATAAAATTTTACATAGAAGGCATCATAAAGATTAAGTGATTAAAGAACTTAATGTTATGTGTGACCTAATTAAGCTCAATAAAAGCGGCGATTAGCAAATCAAGTGCACAGGGGGGAACAAACACAACTAAGCCTGGAGCTAGGATTTCAATTTTATGGGTTCTGCAATTTAGAAACAACTATTTAATGATTTTAAACACAAATACATTGTTTCAACAAAAGCTATTGGGTTCGGCCAAACTCATATTCGAGCTTCTAGACCGAGTGCCCAATCCAATATCCAACAACGTATACAAAATTCCTAGTTGAAATCAGAGATTCTTGGAAGATGATTTGAGGTAACTTACAGAATCATGTGTCAAGTAAGTATCACAGTAGTCACAGTAATACCTGAGGAGGAGAAGGAGGGTGAGAATCAAATAGGGAAAATGGAGGAAATTTTACAAAATAAAATCAAATTCATTGGATTAAACATACCGAGGCATTCTGTATACACAAAAGAGTAGAACACCCTGCAAAAAAAA